AACCCATAAGTCCTATTCCTAAACTACATTTTATAACTTGAATTCTTTACTCAGACCCATAGGTCCTATTTTTAAACTCTCAGCTCAGAGTCTGGAAATTTGCTTGAAAATTTTGAGTTTTCAATCCCTAGCAACAAGTATTCTGTTGGGTCTGAGTAAATGAACCATTTTCAATTTGGAGATTGGATCATGAGCGAAATCATCTAGCACAATTTGTTGAGTAGAAGTCTGAAAATGTATGAATTCACAAAGCATTCTGTTGATTTTTCTTACAGGTAAAACTTTTTTTCCATCTAGAATGAGGAAATCTTATACATTGAACATGATACATAGAGAATTAATCATAACTTAATAAAAATGAAATGTTTTTTTACTAAGTGCTTAAAATTATAATATTAATATTGATGCTAAAGATCTATTAGAACTTGTTGGTTTTTGGAGTTTATTAAAATTCAAGGGTCCCAAGGTTTTGTACCAATCGCCTGATTGGTTGTGTTTTTGGAACAAAAGCAATGAAAAGTTTGAAAACACTCATTGTTTTCATTTTTATGAGCAAAAACCAATTTTTGAAATTTTGAAAACAGCTTCTAAAAGAAGGGTTGTTTTTAGAAACTTAAGTGATACTAATCTAGTTGTATTTTATATTTTGCTTCTTGCAGCAAATTCCCAAGTGGTGGATTTGGTTGTATTATATAAATCCGACTGCTTGGACACTAAACGGTATGCTTACATCGCAGTATGGAGATATAGACCAGAACATTAAGGTGTTTGGAGAAACCAAAACTGTTGCGGCCTTTTTAAGAGATTATTTTGGATACAGACATGATCAGTTACCCATTGTAGCTGTTATGCTCCTTATTTTCCCCATTGTTTTTGCTTCTCTGTTTGCATTCTGCATAGGGAAGTTGAACTTCCAGAGGAGATGAGTCTTGCAAATCTATTTGTTTGTATCTTAGTGAATGGATTGTTTGTCACATTGTAATTGTTTCATCTAGCTTATGGATAATAGTACTGTGACTGTTATGAAGCTGTGGCAATTTGGGTGTTAAAAGTAATCATAAATAATCAATGAAAAATAAAACAAATACATACCATGATACATGATTTACCGTGGTTCGCCTTATAGGCTACGTTCACGGATAATACAATAAGAGTACTTTCATTATGGAGGAAATTTACAAGCGAATTCAATTCGTCCCTCGCACCCTTAAATCCAATACACTGATAAATATACTCAAGTATTTTATGTACTCCTCTCTATATTTCTATTTGTTTGTGAATTGCGTTAGATTTGAGAAATTACGATCCTTTTTTATAATTGAAGTTCTCAGGACTTAAATGTATAAAAATTGTACGTGTTTTTTATTTTTTCGTCTTTTTCATCAAATTTCGTTTTTTTTATTTATTTATTTTTCTCTAGAAATAAATTTTAAAAATCAAACCCAACAAGGGTAATTTGTCTTTCTTAATTATTTTGTCAATTAACACACTATTATTGTTCAAAATTATATGAAGAAACGTCTGATTTAGATAAAACTCATTGGATTTTCTCCCGTCTATACATTGGAGGAGGGTGTTGTGACTTGTGGGCCCAATATTCATGTCATATGATATTTATTTGTCAAATTAGATTGGGTGAAATTATAAATACAGTGAATTGAGTGAGTGAATTATTAATTTATTAGTATGTTGGTATTAAATTAAAGATGTTAGATAAATATGTGTATTAAAATAATAGTATTACTTGATTGACATTAAATTTATGAAATTACTTAAAAACCTTTATTATAAAAAAAAAAATGCGACTTTTTATTATAAAGTATTGGCAATACAGTCTTTTTCTCTCCAATCCCACATAGAATTGGATTATCAAACCCAAATGAATTTCCTAGTGTGATATGTTTGTTTTGGAGTTTTCAAAAATAATTTGCCAAGTTTTCAATCTGTATTTTTTTTATTTTTAGTGAATTTTTTTAATCAATTTTTTTTACTTTTCAGATAATTTATAATTTATAATTTTTTATTTAATATATAATTTTAAATTAACAACACTAAAAAAATAATTTTATTTAATATATAAATTAAATTTTCAATATGTAAATTTTATTTAATATGCAAATTTAATTTTTTAAAACACTAAAAAAAAATTAATTTATAAGGCCATAATTTTTAATTTATTATTTTTAATTAAATTTAATTTATAATTTATAATTTAAATTTTTTATTTAATATATAATTTTAAATTAACAACACTAAAAAAATAATTTATAAATATTCAAAAGACTATTTTACCCTTTTCTAATTGATTTCTAAGTAATAGCATGGAGGGTAAAATAGACATTTCACAACATAATCTCATGGGATATTAATCCCATGGTTTCAATCCCACCTCCTCCCATGGGATAGGATAGTCCCATATTTATGGGACTAATAATCCGGTAGGACTATTAATCCGGAGCAAAATTTTTCAAACAAACAATAGACTATTAGTCCGGTGGGACTAATAGTCCAATCTCTCACTCTTATCCCTCAAAACAAACATGCTCTTAGGTATGTTTGATTGGAAGGATTAGAGGATGGAACTGTGATTATTAATCCGTGGGTTCAATTATCTTATATTTGTTTTAATATTTCGGTTTAAGATTATTAATTCAATGGATAATTAATCTAACAATTTGTAGGATTATTAATAATGGGGTAGGGATGGGATTATTAATCTAATTGGATAGTTAATACTACACTAATTTAATAGAATTATTAATACTTCACTATTAATCTTATAAATCAAACATGACCTAAGAGTACTTCACTATGGAGGAAAATAAGTTTACAAGTGAATTCAATTCGTCTCTCGCACCCTTAAATCCAATACATTCATAAATATACTTTAGTATTTTATATACTCAACTTTATATACAAGAAACTCACTTTATTTTTTTCTATGAACTCCTCTCTATATTTCTTTTTGTTTATGAATTGTGTTAAATTTGAGAAATTAAGATCCTTTTATAATTGAACCTCTCAGGACTTAAATATATAAAAATCATACGTGTTTTTAATTTTTTTGGCTTTTTCATCAAATTAATTTTTTTTTAATTTGTAGAATGACTATTAAACCAGCGATGTTGTATAAGACGGAGTGTTGGGCAACTAAGAAACAACATGTAGATAAAGTGAGTGTGGCTGAGATGATGATACTAAGGTGGATGTGTGGCTGAGATGATGATACTAAGGTGGATGTGTGGCAAGACTAGACAAGATAGAATTAGGAATAAGTGTATTTAGGAATGGGTAGGAGTAGCACCGATAGAAGATAAGTTGAGAGATAATCGATTGAGATGGTTTGGTCACATTCAACGGAGACCAATAGAGACAGTAGTGAAGAGATGCGATACTGTAACGGTAGAGAGGAGTGTTAGGGGGACGGAATAGACCTAGATTAACATTGACTAACGTTATAAATATAGATATGGATCTATTTAATTTGACTAACGAAATGGCCTTTGATAGGGCCGCGTGGAGGAAAATGATTCATGTAACTGACCCCATTTGATGGGACTTAAGACTTGGTTTGGTTTGATATTTTTTTTTTCTCTATAAGCAGATTCTAAAAATCAAACCCAAAGCTAATTTGTCTTTCTTAATTATTTTGTTAATTAACACTATGATTGTTCAAAATTATATTAAGAAATGCCTGATTTAGATAAAACTCCATCCATGAATAGCATAGGATTTTCTCCCGTCTATGCATTGGACAAGGGTGTTGGGACTTGTGGGCCCAATATTCAATTCACATGATATTTATTTGTTAAATTAAATTGGATGAGATTATAAGGACAGTGAATTAATTAAAATAATAGTATTAATTGATTGAGATTAAATTTATAAAATTACTTAAAAACCTCATTATAAAAAAAAATGTGCTTTTTATTTATAAAGTAAGGACAATAATTCTTTCTCTCTCCAACCCCACATAGAATTGGATTATCAAATCCAAATGGATTTCATAGTGCGGCAATATGCTTGTTTTGGAGTTTTCAAAAATAATTTGCTAAGTTTTCAATTTGGATTTTTTTTTTTAGTGAATTTTGTAAATATTTTAATCAATTTTTATTACTTTAAAGATGCACTTGAAGAGTAAAAAATTCGAACAAAAATATTTCAAAAAAATTCACTGAATAAAATAAAATATGAAGAATTTTTGTGGGTTTGTTTGGTTTGTATCAAAAAGATATTTTTAAAATTTTAAAATAATTTTTCGCGTCCCAAAAAAAAATTATATAAATGATAAGTGTTTTTAATTTTTAATTTCTTTCACCAAATTAAATTTTAATTTTTTAGAAAAAAATTCTAAAACAAATTTCTGAAAACCAAATCAAACATAGCCTGTATTTTTTTAGGAAAATTTACCCATAAGTCCTAGTTTCTGAAAAGTTGAACCATTTAGTCCTAAAAGTTTTCTTATGCTCCATTTAGTCCCATTTGCACATCAATCTAATGTTTGAAATATTAATCTGATGTTCGAAACATTAATCTAATGTTTGAAACATTGTAATGGGACCTTTCAGTGCATAAGAAAACTTTTAGGACTAAACAGTGTATAAGTTATTAATTTGGGATTTATTGGTGCATCCCCCATTTTTTTATTTATATTTATTGCATTCAATGAATTTTTGAAATTGTTTTTACGTAAATTATATATTTTTAAAGTGTGTCTAAATTAAATTAATTTAAAAATTAAAAAGTTATTAAAATATAAAAAAATTACTAAAAATAAAAAATAGAAATTCCAAATTCAATAATCAATTTTTGAAAACTTTTTCAAAAAAACGTCATTTTGATAAGCCTTCAACATATTTCTTTTACATTTTTCACATATCGGCCCACATTCTTGACAGGCCCAATCCAGAATAACAAGTCAGGCTTGTTTGCGGTGACAGTTACGGGCCGATAACGTGGATCAGGCCTTTTTGTCTCGTCAGTTCACCTTCCCGCCCAATCGCGTTCAAATCTCTCTCTCTCTCTCTCTCTCGCGCGCGCGCGCATCAACCATCCCAATCTCACACACAAACTCTTGGTCAGTGGATTTCAATGGCTACCAGATCAGGTAGAGTGAGAAAAACCCTAATTTTCTCATCCATAACTCATGTACATATGTATTGTGAATGTTTCAGGTGGAAAAGCTGTGGATCTCTGGGCAGAACTGATAGCTGCTGAACAAGAAGAAAATCATCACCACCCACAACCACCACAAATTGCTGTTGTCTACTGCCGCAAAAATGCCCTGAATTCCCACAAAGATGTATCAAAAGAAATATTTAACCTTTCGAATTTCGAATTTTTTGTTTTTGATAATCAAAATTTTATTTTTTTGTATTTGTATTTTCTAATTCTTCAATTTCGCAGGAGGCTATCGAATTCCAGTAATGAGAGTAGGTTGAGTTTGGCCCCCCGTAAAGCGAGTCAGTTGGAGCCGTTCTCTTTCTACCAGGTTTTTGCCCTAGTTTACTAAATTTCATCCTTATGTTGCTTTCGGATGATTTCGATTTTTGTTTGGTTTGTTATTGCATTTACCAGATACACCTAGGGGTGTATTAAAAATGACAAAAAAAAATTATAGTAACATATACTCTCTGAAGCAAATATAAGGCAAGTTTTGTACAACTTATTTTAAGTTCACGCCTCGTTTGGGAACATGTTAATTTAATAATTTTTTGACTATTTGACTAAAATATGAGCTAAAAAAAATTAGTATGTTTGGGATGACTTTTCAGCTTTTTACGAAAAGATGTGCAAAAAATAGTGAGAAAAGAGAATATTTGATTTTTTGATATGAATTGTTGGCTTTTTAGATTTTTTAGTGACTTTTTAACTTTTTGATTAAAAAAGTCACTTGCCAAGCGATGCCTCAATTTTAAATATTGGGAAGTATGCTCAAGACTGACCGAAATATTATATTTAAATAATTTTATTTATTTTTTATAATTTTTAAAGCATTAGAAGATAAGTGACTAATAATATACATTTTGTAATAAAAATTAGGGAGGGACTCATTTATAGAACAACTTTCACATTTTTCTTTATTTATTTCCAATGTGGGATTCTACAAATTTTTATAAAACCCTTTTCCATCAAATCGACGAAATCGAACGGCGTTAAACATTCTCGCAACCCTTTCCCTTATATACTTGAAATACCCGGAAATTTGGTGACTGAATTGTGAGGTTTTCTCTATTTATTTTAGAAAAGTACTTCTATACAAACTAATAAATTTTGCAAACTTTTTTATACTCACATGAGTTGATCCTATCACATTTTTCAAGTGGGTTCTGTTCAAAATTCTAAAGTTTCATTTGTGTGTCACATTTGTTATTAAAAAAAGATTTGTTAGTATGTGTAGTATTTTCCATTTTAGACTGAATCTATCTTGCATTTTGTTTTGAGTTAGTACTTTGTCTTTGTGTCGTTAAAGTTGACCTTGTGTTCCGTAAATTAAATGGATAAGAAGAATGAAATATACCTATAGGTGATTTTGTGGCTTGAAAAAGTCATTTTTTTGGAGCTTTCTCATCTGAACAGTACTAGGTTTAAGTGAAAAGCATAAACAAAGGGATAAAGAAGACTACAATGCAAAAAAAAAAAAAATTGTCTTTACTAATACACAGTTAACATGGTCTAAATGCATGTTGAAGTTTGGACACGAATGCTTTTATGGGTTGATATGCTAAACTTAAACTAAATTTTGATATGAAATCTCAAGTAAATAAGTAGAGAGTAAGAAGACTTGAATGAATGCATGAACAAAAAAAAAAAAAAGGGACAAATTTCACTTTACCCTCTTGTGATTTTGACCCATGTGTGGATTACCCCTTCTCATTTGGAAATAACCACATATCCCCTTATATTTTGTGAATTGAAGTGCACTGTTAGACCCGTTAACGATTTAATTAAAAAGACTAAAATATACCCCTGTAAATAAGTAACCTAAGTGTATGAACTACAGATATTTTCGTCATTTTTTTGGGAGTCAAAATTCACTTTAACCCTTGTGTTTTATTCCATGTGTGATATATCCCCGTGAAATTTGAAAACGAGTGTATAAGCCCCCTTATGTTTAGCACATGTTCTACACTTACTGTTAAGTTAGACAAAATGTTTAACGGTGCATTTCAGTCCACAAACCACAAGGGGTTTATGTGGTTATTTTCAAAAGTGAAGAGGTAATCCGCACATAGGCAAAAGCACGAGAGGGTAAAGTGAAATTTACCCCCAAAAAAGTAATGCAAAATATTACAATTCAACATTTACATGATCTACCATCATGGCCATCCTCAGAGGTTTCAGGCCAATCCAAATTAGCTAGATAAATTGGTAGGTGATGTTGAAGATTTGACTGAACCAGCAGTTCAGATAACAATGATTGAGACACAGGCCAAGCCCCTGAGATCAATTGAAGTAGTTAGGTCTGTCGATGAAGAAAAGGTTGTGCTACAAAAGCTAGAAGACAAACTTATCAGGCATCTAAGGCCTTTATATGTCAGAGCTTATCTAGATGGGGTGCCAATGAAAAGAATGTTGGTTGATAATGGAGCTATTGTCAGCATTCTTCCTTTTAGGACACTAAAAACTTTGGGAAATCTATCGATGACTTGCTTCCTACTAATGTGAATATACTTAATTTCGCTAGTGAATCATATGAGGCCAGAGGAGTAATGGCTTTACAGCTTCAGGTTGGTTCCAAGTTAATGGGAATAACTTTCTTTGTAATAGATTCTACCTCTAACTACAATGTGCTATTAGGTAGAGATTGGATACACCTTAATGGTTTACACCGGGCATTGATCTTTTTAACTAGTGGTGGTCAAGGTAAAAAAGGAGGAATAAAGTTTACTGGGTAGATGTAAGTCCCTTTGTTGCTGATGTTAATAATATAGAAGTTGTGCTGTGTGATGAGGATTTGGGTTTAGTTGTGATTGATGAGGAAGAGGTTAAGTCCTAGGCAGGGAAAAAGTTTGACAAATGAGGAGTTCAAGGTCTTTGTTGAGGAAGGTTTTAAGAAGATATACCAGGAATTGGCCAAACCAAGCCTAATGCAGAAGCAGAAAAGGCCTGTTATAGAGAAGGTTATTGAAGATCAAGAGTAATGCAGTTACATGTGATAGAAAAAGACAAGCTGGATGAGACAGCTAATGTAATTAGATCTACTTTTACTAGGCTTTTTTTATTTCTTCTTAGAAAGTAAGTTTAGCCCTAAGTGTTTGTCCAATTGTTCTTGGGCAGAATGTGTTATCGACAGTAGCCCTTTGAGTTATAAAGAGGTGCAACTGGAACATCTGAAGGCTGCTCCTGCCAAGTTTGATGACCTTAAAGCAGATGTGCAGGACCTTTTAGAGGAATATAACTTAGGGTGTATCATCTAGGTTAACTTTTAGAGGAATATAACTTAGGGAGTATGTTAAAGCAGATGTGTAGTAGCCCTGTAAGAGGATCATCTATGTAAATGCTAATCTATCTAATGAATGTAAGAGCAAACTAGTTGGTTTGCTTTCTGAGTATGTTGATTGCTTTGCATGGACTTATGAAGAAATGCCTAGATTAGATAGAACATTGGTGGAGCATAGGCTCCCAATTAAAGGAAATTTCCTTCCCCATAAACAACCTCCAAGAAGGATGACTAATAAAGTCACCCTATTGGTCAAGGAGGAAATCGAAAGGTTACTCAAAGCATGTTTCATTAGAGCAGCCAGGTATGTTGAGTGGCTATCTAATATTTTCCATGTTATGGAAAAAAATGGAAAGTTAAGAGTGTGCATAGACTTTAGAAACTTGAATCTAGCAACTCCCAATGATGAATATCTTATGCTAGTGGCTGACTTGTTAGTAGACTCAGTAGCCAAGAGCAAGATTTTGTCCTTTATGGATGGTCGTGCTAGGTATAATTAGATTTTTATTAACCTAGATGATACACATAAGACATCATTTAGGTGTCCTGGTGCTTTAGGGACATTTGAATTGGTAGTCATGCCCTTTGAATTAAAGAATGCAGGAGCAACATACTAGAGGGCAATGAATTTCATTTTCCATGATTTGATTGGAAAATACTTAGAAGTCTACATAGATGATATAGCCATCAAATATGACATTTTTGATGAGCATTTGAAACATTTGCAGCATACATTTCAAAGAATGAGGACTTACAAACTCAAGATGAACCCGTTAAAGTGTGCATTTGGCGTATCTGCTGAAAATTTTCTAGGCTTCTCGGTACACCACAAAGGGATAGAAGTGGATGCTAATAAGGCCAAAGCAATTTTAGAGGCAAAGCCCTCAACAAATAAAAAAAAGTTACAAAGTTTTCTTAGAAAGATAAATTTTTTGAGGAGATTCATAGCCAATTTGGCTAAGAAAACTTTAGTATTTTCTCCCTTGATAAAAATCAAGTTAGACCATGAGTTTAAATGAGAAACATGCCATCAAGAAGCTTTTGATTTACTCAAAAGGTACTTGGTAAACCCTCTAGTGCTTATGCCTCCAGTGACAGGTAAGCCTTTGAAGTTGTACATCTCAGCTTTTGACTTGTCGATTGGTTGTCTATTGGCTTAAGAAAATGATATGGGCCATGAACAAGCCATTTATTACCTAAGTAGAAGGTTAAATGATGTTGAAACCAGGTATAACTCTGTTGAGAAGCTGTGTTTGGCACTTTATTTTGCAGCTATTAAATTAAGGCATTATATGCTACCTACAGAGGTGTATGTGGTAGCACAAACAGATGTGATTAATTATATGTTGTCCAAACCCATCTTGAGAGGGACACAAGGCAAATGGATATTAGCTTTAATTGAATATTGTCTTAAATATATGCCACAAAAAGCAGTCAAAGGACAAGCCTTGTCTGATTTTTTGACAAAACACCCTTGTACATCTGTCGATTTAGATTCATATGAGATTAATATGGTGGAGAATGAACCTTGGAAGTTGATGTTTGACTGTTCAAAGACAGATATAGGAGTTAAAGCAGGTATTGTGCTAATTGCACTAGATAGGCAAATGTACTAGTTTACATATCAGTTGGAAGAGCAGTATATACAATCTTGTAATCAAGCTGAGTATGAAGACCTGATAATTGGCCTAGAGTTGGCTATAGAATTTAAGATTAAGAGTCTTCAAGTTTTTGGGGATTCACAATCGGTCATTAAGCAAGTCTTGGGTGAGTTCAAGCGTATAAGTGGTGCTCTAGAGGAATATTTGACTAAAGTTAACTGGTTAATGAGTTTCTTTGACCATATCACATTCACACATAGAAACAAGTTCGAAAATAAAGAAACCAATGAGATGGCTCAAGCAGCTTCTGGGTTAAAAATTCCTAAAGGAGCTCAAGAAATGGTGGTTCAAATTAAGAAAAGAAACTTTTCTGCGCTTAGGAATAAGTGTAGAATTTTTTTGCCAATTCTTACTTTGGATGTAATAGAGGAAGATTGGAGATTTCCT